CGAATCGGCTCGTTCCAAGCCGGTGAACAATGGCCGAAGACGTCGTGAACAACATGCAACTGCACCAATAGCACCATCGACATGAAACCAAAGATCATGCGGACGACGAGCACAAATATCGGCTAAACCTTGTAGATCATCAATGGCTCCAGTGCCGACCGTACCGGCCGAACCGACAATAAAGCCACACGCGTTCGGATCGATGCACGCCTCTAATGCCTGAAAAAGAATCATCTAATTAAAACGAAAAACATGTCTGATTGTAACTACCTGCACATCGATTTGTCGTTGTTCATTTGTCAAAACATAAACAATATTTTCTTTATTGATACCGAGTAGATTGGCAGCTCGAATAATACAACTGTGTGTATCTTTCGAACAGTAGATGATCATAGTTCGTTGATGAAATTTTTTTCTGGCCACTGCCAAAGCAATGATTGTAGCCACTGATGTACCACTGACGAGAATGCCCGAACTTGTCTCATCATTGGGAAAACCCATCAATAGTTTGAGCCATGACAAGACTTTACGTTCTAAATAAATACTTGCCTGTTGACCACCCCAAGACATTGTATTCATTGTACCGGTTATAAATTCGGCTAGAGCTCCAATCGTTGAACCGGAGCCGTAGACATGACCCCAAAAAAGAGGATGAATATTACCCATAATATACGGAAGAATCGTCGTGCAAACTTCATCATAGACTTGCCACGGTGATTGACCTTGAAGTGGAAGATCACCGTTAAGAATAATTTCTTTGATTGTTAATGGTAATGGACGCCACGCTGGCCGGAGACGAATGTCGCGCATGTAGTCGATCATGTTTTCCATAATTTTATGCCCGAGCAATCGTAGATCATTCCAATCGGATGGATCGAGTGAGATTTCGTCTGTTGTATTCGTTACGAGCTTTGTGTCAATTCTGAACGACCATAATTTCTCGTAGTTTCGACTACCGAAACGTACTGGAAACGAGATTTCAAGATTTTCATCGACTGTTACACAAATATTCGATATTGATGTTTCGAGTAAATCAATGATCAATACATCGAATTCATCGATTGTCTCACAAAGGCGATGTGTCAACATCGAACATTGATCGTTATTCAATGACACGATTCGTGTCAATATTCCATGATGATGAAGTTCGATATTTAGACATTGACTCGAAGCGTGCACCAATTGAAGACAGTAGTTGTCGTTTAGCAGATACATAGTTTTAATCAAAAGAATGGAAACAAGTAAGTGATAGTATTACAATTTGTTGTCATCATGCATTCAGTGCGAAAATGATGGCGAGAATGACTAAAGTAAAAGTCAAACAATACTTGAGATAAGTGATATCGAAGTCATAATTACAAGACTCGTAGCGGTCTTTCTTCGTTTTTTTTGCTTTATCACTTTCAAAAAGAGGTAATATTTCACAATCCATGGAGTAACGATGATGAAGACATCGACTACATAACTTCTAACATATAAACAGGAGACTTTTGATAAATTGGAACATAAGCAGCGGAATAATAAGATTGGAGCAAGGGCTCGAACCTCCTAGATCTTGAAAATTTTGCAGGA